CCCCCCCCCCTTTCTTCACGCCTCAGTGACTGCCTTGCCATTCCCACACCCCGCGACGCGCGACTTGTGCCCCACGACCGTTACAGGGGGAATCGTTCGGCTCATCGAGTACGCGTCTCGATGGGGCGGAAAGGCGAAGGACAATGTCAAGCATCTCCGACGCTCTCCACGCTTTCCAATCAGAAGCAAAACCCTATCCAAACGCTACTTCGCTTCTACTGCTACTCATCCCCGCCCTCGTGCTGACGGGTATGATCAGCCTACCCTTACCTTTTGGTCGCTCGCATTGGAGCGCGAAAGGCAAGCATGCTTTCATAACGGGCGGATCTTCAGGATTAGGATTGGCGCTTGCCGAGTTGATCGTCGAGAGAGGTGGAAGCGTGACGCTGGTAGCGCGCGACGAGTCTCGTCTGAGCTCTGCCAAGCAGCAGGTGGAGCGTCTTTTGAGCGTGCGCGCTGGCCCCAACAAAGGCAGCAGCACAATGACGGACTACGAACAATTTGTGCAGGCTATCAGCGCGGACGTCTCATCCTTTGAAGCGGCCAGAAGGGCGGTACAGCAAGCTTCCACCTCCACCTGTCAACCCGACATCTTTTTCTGCTGTGCAGGAGCAGCTACGCCGGGGTTCTTTGTCGCTCAATCCGAAGAGACTTTGCGTCGAGGCATGAACACGGATTACTGGACCAGCGCGAGCATGGCCCACGCAGCGCTTCGCAGTTTTATTTCCAGCGGCAAAAAGGGCGGCAAAATCGTCTTCGTATCTTCCATCTTGGGAATGTTTGGCATGGTTGGCTATGCCGAGTATGCGCCTGCAAAGGCTGCCATATGCTCCTTGGCCGACACGCTCCGAAGCGAAGCTTTGCTGTACGATACGCAAGTGCATTGTTACCTGCCCGGCACCATACTCAGTCCCGGCTTGGAGAGGGAGAACAGGACAAAACCGAACATCACGCTCAAGCTGGAAGGTACTGGATCAGGTCTGACCCCAAGACAATGCGCGCAAGGTCTGCTCAAAGGTGCGTATATGCTTCACTCCTCTCGTACCCTGCACGCCCCCACTCACACGTCGCTCAAACGCACACCACCCTTTCCTGCCTTTGCGCTCCACATCAGGTCTATCGCGCAACCAGTTCAACATCACCACCGACTTCCTCACCGAGCTGGTGCGCAGCGCACATTTGCAAAACTCGCCAGGCAACGGTTGGATTTTGGACGGGTTCAAATGCGCGCTCGCTAGGATTGTACAGCCCCTGTGGAGATGGATCGAGAATGACAGGGCCATCCAAAAGGAGAAGAAGATGCACTTGGCGGAACTGCAAAAGACGGGAGTAAAGGTTGCTGGCGCGCCAGTATTGGCATCGGCACCGCCTCGAAGCGAATGATGTTCTGATGATTCAAGAGGGTCACGTTTGATGTTGTCCCCGAGCACGAGAAGCAGCATCAGCATCGCAATGTCATTGAGATGGAGCAGAAGAGACTCTGACTGGGCACGTCGAAACGTTGACGAGTGAGTGCACAATCAAGCTATGCGCAAGGGACCTCGAGCCAGGTGACACAGACAGCCGATTCGATGCTGTGCCTGTGGCGTGAGCAGGGGCCTATGTGTTGCACGTGGCAAGTCTCTCAAAGGCAGTGCAGATGAAGTACCTGGAAAGGTGCAACCCAGTATTTAAGCTGGAGGGAGCTCGAAGGGACGAATGTGAAGTCGCACTAGACCAAGTCTGTATCGATGCCACGAAATCATGGGCCCTCACCATT